GCCACAGCTCCACCCTATTCCAGTGGAACAGATAAATGCACCTCAACTCACGGGCAACCAGAACCTGACCGTTCATGAAAGTCTTTCCAGAAACAACCAATCAGATAAATGAAAGCTAAGCCTAACAACCATTTTCAGTTCCCTTTGTCCCCCCCAGAGCTCCTCTCCCTATTTCTCCCTGGACCTACCAAAGCATATGTTGGACAATCTTGGGCAGCTTCCACAAGGGCAGCACAATCTACTTGTTTTATATTTATGTCAGTTCTTTTTCATGAGAACATCAAAAGAAGTACTATCCTACATGATTCCTTTTTTCTAACCGTATGAAACAGAAGTTTAAGCAGCAGATAGGAGGCGAATGTCATTTAGCCACTGAGGAGATGGGGGAGATGTTGATGTCCCTGGTTTTCCTACATCATCTTGCTGAAGAAAGTTGGGGTGATTAAAGAGGGGAAACACTAGTGATCAATCAAACCAATGTTAAAATCATACTCTATTATTCCCAGTGTGTCCAATCGTAAACTTAATGTGGTTTCTTGAGTTCTGACTCAGCCATAGTTTCTGAGTAACTCAGATTTGTACACTAAAATCCACCCGTCCAGGCCACAGACTACATAGCAGGGTTCTGACAGCATGACAATGGCATTGTTTTGCTGGTTACAGACAGGGGAATGAACAAATTCCCTGTTGAGTGGTTCTGAATGCCTTATTCACCAGCAGTGGAGAGGCATAAACACCACATCTATAATCAGCATCTATTTATTAAGGGCCGTGTGCCCTTAATTAACTTACCGACATTAACTCTAATCCTACGAGTCTTTGAAGTAGATGCTATTTTTATCCCCATTGCATAGATAGCTGGGGAGCAGAGATAAGTAACCAGCTTCAAGTCCCAGAGCTTGTGAGTGGTAGAGTGAGACAGCTGCATTGTCAGACTTCAAAAGCTAAGCCCTCAACTGCTTCTAACTTCTTAAAGACCAACTCCAAAAATCAAAGACTTCTACGTTGGTCCTAATTCCTGAAATCCATCCACTCTTATCCTGGCATGGCCTCAGCTGTATGTATGTATATGTGTGTGTGTCTGTGTGTGTATGTGTGTGAAAGAGAGAGAGAGAGAGAGAGAGAGAGAGAGAGAGAGAGAAAGAGAGAGAGAGAAAGAGAGAGAGAACTAGAGGTCTGACACACGAAATTTGTGCAAGGGGCTTGACCCCCACCGTGGCCCCCACTGCTCGGCTTTGTCTGGAAGGTCATCTGGTCTAATTAGCATATTATAATTTTATTATTATAGATATACTCTGTTTCCCCGAAAATAAGACAGTGTCTTATATTAATTTTTTCTCCCAAAGTTGCGCTAGGTCTTATTTTCAGGGGATGTCTTATCTTTCCATGCGCTAGGTCTCATTTTCGGAGGATGTCTTATTTTCAGGGAAACACGGTATATATGAAAAGAGAGCCCAACCCCCACAAAGTAAAAGCATGACCTTTTACTTCAAAGACAACATTACTTAATATTAAACTTCATTAAAGCTCTTTCATGGTTAAGATTAATCAAAATGTTCAGACCAAGATCTGTCAACATGGTGAAGGAATTTCATAAAATCCAGTCTTTGTCACCCTGAAAATACAGCTGTCATAAGTCCCTGATAATTGGTCTAGTCAGTGGAAAAAACAAAGGGAAATAATTTTCCCCTCGATGTTTTCTTTTAATCCCTGCAGAAACATTCGCTCCAGGACAGGGGACAGGAAATGATGAGAACCTTCACATCTTGGGCGGCCGGGGTTTCAGGAGGGCTGTATCCCTTCTTCCAGTCCCTCAGCGGTGTACGTCCTCACCGTCCCCGACAGCCTCCGGTTCACAGCTTCTCAGCGCCATCAGCCGCTCAGGGAAGGAGGGTGTGCAATACCTCGCTGATAGCCTGCCTGGACCCTCAGGCTGCAAACTGTCTTCCTCGGAGGAAGAGGACGTAGGATGGAAACCCGCCTCTGCAGTGGTTGCCTCGCACATCTAATCCCTGAGGTCTGTTGCAAATTGGCAGCATGCATGAACAGAAGAGCAATCAGAAGAGAAGCTTCTTGCCGAAACCGGTTTGGCTCAGTGGATAGAGCGTCGGCTTGGGGACTGAAGGGTCCTGAGTTCGATTCCGGTCAAGGGCATGTACCTTGGTTGTGGGCACATCCCCAGTAGGGGGTGTGCAAGAGGCAGCTGATCGATGACTCTCTCTCATTGATGTTTCTAACTCTATCTTTCTCCCTTCCTCTCTGTACAAAATCAATAAAATTTATTTAAGAAAAAAAAAAAAAGAAGAAGAGAAGCTTCTTAAACACGGCCATGCAATGTCAGAATCGGCCTCGGGGCGGTCACAGCCAGGATTCTGTTCCCAAGAACCCGACACCACATGCATTCCTATGAAAGGGGAGCAGAGTAGGGGCCCTCAAGATGCTACAAGACGGTATCACAGCCTCCTGGCCCAGGGACGTTATTTTGATTATCGACAAAATCTTCTCTGTCCTCTTTCCAAATCAGTAAGACATAGGCCAGATTGCAGGAGGAATTTTGTAGTAAAAAAAAATTCTCTTCTACACACACACAGTTTAGGACAGACTTCACATACCCAAAACAAAAACTACATGGCCCTGCAGCAAATCAGAATTTGATGTTCTTTCTTTTTCCTTTACTTACGTTGAACCTCACTGGTGTCAAAATTTTGTCAGTCCAGCACACTGCCAGCAATAATCCTGACCTAGAATAAATAAAACCCCTAACACAAAACCTAGAAAATGATAAGGTGAATTTTATATCCCATATCCTACAAGGTTATGAAATCTATGTGGCAGTCCCTTTGGGTATCACCAAATATGTGCTATGGTCCTGCTAGGCTTGACTCGCCACATGGTATAGGGAGAGCCTCAAGCTGGGTGACAGATGGAGCATCGTTTCTGCACCAGCCCTGCGGGCGAGACACTCACAACAAAGACCTGTCCCCCATCAGCACAACATTCAACTGCCCCACCAAATATCAATGTGGCCGGAAACCCAGCTTAGAATTATATGAGACTATAATCTGATTTTATCTATATACACACACAGGGAATTCTCAGTCCAGTTTCAGTATGTGTTGGATTTTCCAGGAACGTAATCAGAATATTCTGTAGGATGAGGGAAGCCTGAAGAGCCAAGAGAATGTGCGCGTGGACCAGCACCAGATTGCTTCAGAGTCCATGCCAGCTCCCCTGTGTGGGCTGGGTTCCCTCGGGTAACTCCTGGCACGTGAAAGGGGGAAGCCACTGGCTTCCACCTGATAAAGCAGAGAGGACTGAGAACAGCCACCAGGAGGCGCTCTGTGGGTGTCGCTACTGCAGACTTCTGTCTTGTCTAGAGCTTTAGCAAGACTTGGCCACGTCTTAGAGAATGGTTGCTGATATCCATCTGTTCCTGGTCCGGAGCTGCCAGCACAACAGGCCTGGCCTGTCAGTATGTGTGGATGCCACATCCCTGGGGGTTTTATGTGTAGACCCAACCATGCCCCGGTCCCATGATTTCACCGCACTTTGTGGCATAATTGCGCTGGAGCATATACATATTAAAATGATTATCTCATTATAAATGTTTCCTACGCTTATACTTATGTCAGGACATTAAATGGATGTGTGTGTACAGAGGCCAGTTATAGTGCCTGCTCTTTTCACTTCAGAATATTAAATGGGGTGATGTTTTTATGTGCAAAGACAGGTTTTACCGTCTTTGGTTTTTATTTAATGATTGTGGTGATGTTGTAAAATATTTACTATAAAAAGAGGCATGTGTGGAATTTGGTTTGGTAGTGTTTTTAAAATATCACTATTTGAAAGTATCATGTCAAAAAGGGTCATTCTGCATCTTCATGGGATAACACCTGTCCCCATAAACCGTTACTATTGAGGTTAGCCGGTTCCATCCCTTCATGGCTAAGAAATTACTATTAAACTATTGCTTACATATGTCCACAGTAGAGATACATACAAACTTTTTTGAAGCAGCCATCTGCCTCCTAAACACAATTCAGGAGAAAACCCTAAGTGAAAATAAAAATGCATCTGCGGAGGCTGACCGAGGGTAGAGAACCCAGAAGCTTCCCTGACCTGCCCTTGGGCCTCTGGGGGACATTCCGAACTTGAGGTTGGGCACATTCATTTCAAGAACAGTCAAGAGATCACAGTGGCATTTTCTCCCCAGCGAAGCCCTCCAAGCTGTTTTCCTTGTTACTGAGCTGAGCTGCAGCACTGAGAGTCTGCCCAACACCCAGGGAGCAGGCGGAAGTGCTGCCACCCCCTTCCTGGGCAGGACGCCAGCTCCCCCTCAGTGATGCGGACAAGGCTTTCCCACAGCTCCCTCCTGGCCACCGGGCCCAGGAGCAGCTGCCCCCACGCCGGGCCCTCACAGTGTGCAGAAGCTGCCAGAAGCTTGGTCCTCAGTGTGCCAGAAGCTGCCTGCCGGGGAAGCACACTCGCAGCCTCTCCTGGCCCGGATTTGCCAAATTCCTCCTCACCCCCAGGCAGCAGGCTTTATGGCTGCAGCTCCCTGAGGCGCCGGCCAGGCCGCCCCTTTGAATCCAATCACTCTAATGGGTGAGGGCTGTTCTCCCCTCCCCCACCAAGGCCGTTCTACAGGGAAGATGCTTACCAACGTCAGGCAATCTCCAAGGCCCTGAGTTTCTGGAAGTTTGGCAAAATGAACTATTCAGGGATCTGGTGGGGGTTGGATTTCTGATGGGGGGACACCAGCTCTGCCTACAAATACCTCAGAACACCCCCCAGATGTCATGTGACGTTACACACGCTTCCTCTACACCCCCATGTCTAAGCCAGAAAACCCCACATTCTTGAGAGAGCTCACTCTCTCTTCTCACAGGAACATCCGTGGCCGCAGTAGCCACCTGTACATCAGACACGGCCTCACCCTCTCTCTCTGGCCAGCTCTGTGTACGGCGCCAGACATAAATACCTCCAGTCCGCGTGGCTAAGAGTAGGAAAAATATACAACTGTATTTCAAACGCTTAAATTAACAAGATAGGACTTTTCCATTCTAACAAAATATCATACATTCGGTTTAAATGGGAGTTAATACCCAGACAGGCTTTTCCAAGATACCTGACGCTACTTGAAACTCTGTGACCTCACTGAGACGTGCCCGGGTTTCTCTGGTGAGCAAAGCGAGGCAGATCCAAGGTCTCTTTCCCAAACGTCAGTCCTGCTGCTTCCTTTTTCCCAAGGAGACTTTGGCTGTCAGCAAATCGTAGCTTCTCTTCCTTCCGATCAGGAACACACAGCGGGGCCGCCGTCGGAGCCGGGAAGAGGCCCTCTCGGTGGGTCCCTGTGCCCGTCGCCCCGAAGGGAGACCGTGACGAGAAGGAGATGAGCCGGGGGGACCGTCTGCACGCACCCCTCTTCTCTGCGGCCCCCACTTCCGAGGCACGTGACCTCAAAGTCAAAGCCGCCGCCCTGACACTGGCGGTGCTTCCCGTGAACGAGCAAAACCCAAGTGTCCTCCCCACTGGCTTCTGGGGCCAAGATGCTGGACCACGAACCGATACATGTGTGCGACCACAGCCACCCCCTGGATCCCACCCCCTAAACCAGCGATGCCCCGTGCCTCCCGGTCACCCCGACCCCGGCAGAGGCTGCGGGCTGGGCTGCAGAGTGCGTCTCTGTGTGCCAACCCGAAGGAGGCCAGAAAGGCCATCTCCTCCTCCCGCCTCCCCCAGCCGGCACCGAGGCCCCTGGACCCGCTCCCACCCACCTGCTCCCATCATCAGGAAGGGCGGCGCCCAATTCTCCAAACAAAAAAAGCACAAAACAGACTGCGAAAGGCGTCTACATAATACTGTGCGTGACGGTCGGACGGCAGCCCGCTGGAGGAAGGCACTTGGTGAGCGGGGGGGCACCCCCGGGGGCCGGGCTCAGTGAGTCAATAGCTTGAGACGCGTGAGCCAGCTGACCAGCAGGGAGGGCTCGGGGGCCGAGGCCTTGGCGGCCTTCTTCTTGGGCCCCTCCTCCGGGAACGGGATGGTAGCGCTGCTGTGGAGGTCCGCGCCCAGGTGGCAGCGGCTGCCGCGGATGTAGTCCGCGCCCCGGACCAGCTGCCGCTCCGCGTGGGGCCTGGAGAACCGGTAGGGGGGCGAGGCGCTCTCCTCGATGATCGGGGGGATGCGTTCGTTGCTGAAGTAGCGGCAGAGGGCATCCTCACCTGGGGTCAGACAGAGACCGCAAGTCCGTTAGAACGGCCTAAGGGGCCCACAGCCCGCCCAGCCTGCTGAGGCCCTGTGATGGCGGGCACGGCCGCCTGCCCTCCCCCGGGGAGGGGCTAGGAGGCCCCGCTGAGGGGCCAGGGGCCAGCCCTCCCCCGCCCTCGCTGGGGGTGTGGAAAGTAGAAATGGTGGAGGGCCCTCACAGTTAGGGCCGCTTTCCCGCCTGAGCGGGCGGTGACAGGTGGGCAGAACAGAGACACAGAGCCCGCCCTCCGTTACTTGGTTTCTCTTGAAACCAAGAAAGGAAGCTGCCAACTCCATGCTCCTCCCCCATCGCCCTTCCCCGGTGCCTGCAGCATGCAGTGCATGCTCATATGCTGCAGCCCCCCTAAGGAGCATTCAGGAAAGGGGGTGTGTGGACGGAAGGGGCCACATGCTGACCTGACCCGCTCAGGGGAGGCCTGCATGGCCGTCGTGCAAACTCAGAGGCCTAAAGTCACCACAAAGGATGGTCTGAAGTTAAACTTTAACTAGAAGCAGTGATGGTGGGTAGTTAACGTCCGAGGCCGGAATCTTCCCTGACAAGGTCCACCTTTACCTGAACTGAGCCTGTCTGTCTTTTTACATCTATAAGAGCATATCCTTGTAACGTCTGGGTAACTTGTAACTTCCCTTTTTCTGGAGCCCCTGGGGCACAACCTAATCTGCTGGGCGCCAGGACAGAGCCCTCAAATTCCTTCACTGTTATCATGTTCACTGTTCCTGCACCCACCTAAGTAGGTGTCTATCATTTTACTTTTTATCCAACCCCAAAGACCCCACCCTCCCCGCTCTGCTTTCTGCCTCCTCTCTAGTCTGTCACCAATGGATTCCATGGAACCCGCCTTCCTTCCTCCTTGCTGCAATGTATAAAAACAGAGGAAAACCCGCCCCTCTCCAGAGCACTATCCCAATAAGTTGAGATACTGCTTCCCAGCAGCTGTGGACAGTCTGGCTCAAATAAACTCACAAAAACTCCCTGCGGGGTAGAACGTTTGTTGTCTTTCCTTTTCGCTAACAGTTGTGCCCTGAATGCAGGGCGGGCACTGTTCACATCCATGGCGGGTCCTAAATGTTCTCGCTCTGCCACTCGGGACATTTCCCAGCGAGAAAGACTGGCCCCGCCCGGGATGCCAGCAGAACCCCGGGATTGGTGACGGGCGATTATGAAACTGAATAGAAACCTACAACGCAGGCCACTTCGGCATTCTTTTGACCATAACATTCCACCTCCAAAAACATTCAAACATCTACATCCAAAGGTGCTTACTGAAGCATCATTGACGATAGGGACGGGGAGTGACTAAAAACAGAAAAAACCTAAATGTCCAACAAATACTAAATAAACAGGTGCTACAGCCGTAAGATGGAATACTAACGCAGCTATTAAAAGGTAATATTCAGCTCACACAGTATTAGTGAACAACTCTTCCTTCTACCCTGCGCGCTTTTCCAAAGTGTATAACTGTATCTACGAAAACAACTGGGAGAGACACAACACCTTCACCCAGACTGCTTCTACCCTGTTTCCCCGAAAATAAGACAGTGTCTTATATTAATTTTTTTCTCCCAAAGTTGCGCTGGGTCTTATTTTCAGGGGATGTCTTATCTTTCCATGCGCTCGGTCTTATTTTCGGAGGATGTCTTATTTTCGGGGAAACACGGTAGGTTGGGGAAGCAGAATGCAGGGAGTTTTACTCTCTCACACCTCCCAGATGTTCCTCCAGGACTTGATTTGCTTTTGTCACCAAAGGGCCGAAGTTACTCTTAAAAAGTGCCCATTGTCAAAAAGCCACTTGGCGGATGAGTCGCTGGATATAAAACATCCAGAATAAGCAAATGCAGAGGCAGAAAGTAGCTGAGTGGTTGCCAGGAGCTGAGGGAGGAAGGCTCGAGGCGTGGCTGCCCACAGGCCTGGGGCTTCTTTTCCACAGGATAAAGGTGCTGGAATCAGAGATGGTGACGGACGCACCACGCTAAGACGCTACCAGAGAGCACGCAGGTGTTCCCTGCCACAGGGGGAGTGCTGTGGTGTATGTGAGTTCCCTCTCAGTAAAGCTGTCTCCTTTCCCTTTCATTCTAACAGGATCATACGGGGAACATGTGGGTGGGGACAGGCGGTCAGGTAGGTTTCCGTTTACTGATTTCACGCTCCCCACCCCGCCTCTCACCCATCGCTCAGGATGTGAAGGCAATAAAAGGCTACGTCTGAGCTTCAAAGGCGGAGAGAAGATGCTGACACTTTAAAATCCACACAAAAGGACAGCCTGCCACCTGCTGACTGCTCCACAGACTTTCCCTGTCAGCCATGGTGGTCTGACTTTAGGCAGTGTCTCCTGCTTGTCCACGTTAGCAAAACCCCGGCGATAAGGGCACGTGGGTGACAAGCTTTCCCAAGTCCCGGGGAGGCGTCAGGGGGTGATTACTCTGAAAGTTGGGCTTCTAGAATGTTTTTCTCCTTCCCTTCGCCATCTAACGCCTGTGGATTCGAACCTGCCACCTGCTTGTTTTAGCCCTGCAAAAGCCATGTTAGAATGCCCTGCCCGTGCTGATACGATCAAACAGAACTCGCAAAAAATAAGAATATTTACAAGCCTTTGTCTCAAGACGAGTGCAACAATCAGCAGCTCACTAAGGGGAGGACTGAACACAATTTCTTTTCTAACTGTAAGGACTCTCTAGCACAAGAAGGATTTGGGGGGGAGGGGAGGTAATCCATGTTTGTTCATGAAAAACCAAACAGACTCCAATAATCATAAAATTTAGGATGAGATTGCATCATGAATAATTTACTTCTACTTGTTTAGAAACTGGACCGTTCATGTCTCCAGCCTTTTCAAAGCGCACACTGCTGAGGAGGAGATGTACAACCCCTAACAGGGCTGCATAATCCTGCCACTCCAGAAATACGCAGGGTCGGAGGCCTTCAGCATTCCTGCTTTCACAGATATGACGATGCGGCTCAGAAAGGCTAAGTCCTCTACCCGTTATCCCAGCTCCTTCGGGACCGGGCCTGAGATCTGGGCCTGGGTCTTCTGGCTCCCAGTGGGATGGGATCTGCTTCAACTTACCTTTCCTCCCGTGACCGCGAGGCCTGGCGAAAGGGTCCACGATCCCCATCCAGCTCCCGTCCGCGGGCATGGACAGCGGCCGGGGCTTGCCTGGGGAGCGGAAGGGAGTGAGACAGGGGGTAACTGGGTGGCTCAGACAATCATCATCCCCTTTATTTGGAATCTAGACTGCCACCCCTGCAGGACCACCCTCACTCCAGCAGGAACAGTAACTGGCTTAAATAAGGAGCATATCTGAAGGCATCGCGTCTCTGTAGCGAGCCCTGGGGACGGGGCGTGCTGAACTGGAGGCTGTGGGTGCCCAGAGCGGAGTCACCCGAAGCTAAAAGCCAGGCTCCGAGGTTTAAAAGCGGGACATGATCTCACCCCCCGGGCTCTGATGCCAGGCGGAGTGGTGACTCAGCATGGCTGCGCTCCAGAGGCAGGATAAGGGTCTCACACTCGGAATGTCACTGAGGGTCTGTTTTCCTCGGCTCACCCTCAGCACCTGCCAAACCCACCCGGCGGTGCCACCTAGGCCGGGGCGGGGAGGAGAGGGGTAGCACACAACCAGCACCCGGACAAGTACCGTAGGACGGCGTCTTCTGCCTCATCTTCGTGGGCAGAACGTTGGTTTCAACCGAATACCCGGGCAGCTGGTCCGAGTCGGCGATGGTGAACCTCCGTCGCCTGCTCTCCTGGTCCAGGAAGGAGTTTGGGGACTCCGAGCCCTTGGGGCCGGGTGCTGGCCGGTGGCATTTGCTGGGTCCCCCGTACAGGAAGCTCCCGTTCTCATTCCTGGAAGGAGCGGGCGGTCATGTCATTGCCCACGAAGGCCCTCCCCCGAGGGACAGCTGCGGGAGGGCACATAGGAAGTGCAGACCACCTCCCCCCTAAGCAAAGCGTGGCCTTTTCCATCCCCCTTGTTTCTCAAATACACAGAGGGCCTAGGAAGTAAAGGCAAAGGCCAGGATCCTACTATGTTAGTAGGGTGGTGTTTCCCAAACTTCTCTCATGATGAGAATCACCCGGTGGAGTTGTTAAACTACAGATTCCTGAATCCCAACTAAGAAGTGCTAAACTAGAATTTTTGGGAACATACAGGTAAAATTGTATACTTAACTAGTATACTTAACTAAAATTTTATACTTAACTAAGTAAAATTGGATACTTAACTAAGCTTAGAGCACTAGTGAAGTTACCTATGTGGTCCCAAAAATTCTAGTTTAGCACTTCTTAGTTGGGATTCAGGAATCTGTAGTTTAACAACTCCACCGGGTGATTCTCATCCTGAGAGAAGTTTGGGAAACACTGAAGTAGGGGAAAACACGCGTCTTTCCTGTGTGCTCAAATGGCACACATGTACCTTCGAAAAGAGGGCACTGGCTTCCGTGAGCATCTGTCCTACCACTTGGTCACCTACGTGCATGGGTGCAGGAATCTGGGGTTCAGCTGGGACCCGGGGAGCCATTTCTCTCAGGCCCGGCGGGCGTCTTTGCCAAGACCCAGATAAAAAGACCCCTGATGTGCAATGGAGCCGTGAGTTGTGAAAATTATGTCAAAACCCACGAAGGGCCCTGTCTAGTCCCGGCGGAGAGTGTCCATGTTCTGAACCAAGCACAGACACTGGCAAGCGCTGGCTCTTCAGTTGCAACTCCATCCTTTCTGAAAGTCAGCTTGTACTAAACGTTGAAATGAATTTTAATGGGTCCAAGCGACCAGCTGGTTACATGTTTTGCATTCAGGGAATTCCGCCAGGTGATCCTCGTAAAGTTACCAGACAAAACACAGATTCGACCGAGTCCAAAACCGTCCGAAGACCAGCCTCGCCGGAGCGGTGTCCCCCGGGGGCCGGCTGCCTAGGCGCCCCTTCCCCCAGGAGTCTGTCTCCTTCCGCCCTCTGCAGCCTGGACTAGAACTTCCCCCCACAAAGCTCCCTGACACACCACTCCTGCTCTGCACCCATCGGCATCCTCCGTGCCTCAGACACTATCCTCATTAATGACGCATTGGGGGGGGGGGGAGGAGCACACATGTATATGTGTCTCACCGTGTAGATTAAAGCCCTAGCTCCTCTTCCTGCTCACTACATGCATCACCCTCTGCCTTACCACTGCCCTGTACCCGTCACTGAAACAAGAACACTCAGGGTTGGGAGTTGGGGGGGCGGGCGGGGGGTGTCCTTCCTACAGTTTCAACAGCCCACACACTAACCATCAGTGAAACGCCTGTGTGTTGCATATGCAAAACCACCTGTTGCTTTAAGCACACTCAGGGTCCCATGGCCATAGGACTCATCTCTGACTACAAGGAAGAGTCCTATTGACCAAGCGGAAGGGACCTGCCTGGGAGAGTAGGGCACGGCGGGCGGGGGCGGGATGTACAGGTCCAGGATGGCCGGCTTCTCCTTCTTCAGTGAGGCGTCCATGGTGCTCTCGGGGGACTGCGACGTGGTGGGCGGCGGCGAGGTCTGGAACAGGAGCAGGTGCACAGGGTGGGGTCACCTCCAGGCCCACGTCTCCCCTCCCCGAAGCCAACGCCACCTTCTCCGAGCCCCACCCCGGGGAATGAGGCCACAAGGTCGGTGGGTGCTGACAGCTGTGGGCAGCATTCAGCGTGTGTTTCTCTCTGAGACCCTCAGCACTAACTGGGAGTCCCGAGCGACTAGATGCTTAGTGAGCATCTGGGAAGGAAACCGGGTGCCTGGGGTAAAATCTTAGCTCTGAGAGGATAATGTAAACGTGTGCCTCCTGAAACGGCCATCCTGACAGCACCTCTTGCACAGGGTGGCAGTGAGGATGGGATGAGTGAGTGAATACAACCCCCCTACACACACACACACACACACACACACACACACACATGAAACACAGTAAATGCACACCCAGAGCTCTGTGCATCCCCAAGTACCCAAATGGATGGCTTGAGATTACTGCCGTACCTTCCAGTTGAATATTTGGCAAAAAAAAAAAAAATCAGTTACATACAAATTGCAATCCTAATCTAAGAAAGGATAAAGAGTATTCCAATGCATTGCTTTTCACCATGGTTTAGGAAGCAAATGCTAAGGACTGATGTAAATAACAAAACTCACTAAAAGTCAGTTTGCTTCTTGCTATCCCCCAAGACTGGCAATTCTAAACAACATCTAAATCATGGATGGCTGCTCGCACCCTGTGGATTATTCCCACTGCCCCCTCCCTGACCCCCAACTCAGCCCCACGTGGTCTCTCTAAAGTTAGCCTTGAACCTGGAAGCCTTCTGTCAGTGTGCCCTGCCAGTGAGAGAGAGGGATGAGAATGAACTTGGCGCAGCGAGGGCAGCCCCAGCCACAGGTGCTCCCCAACATCTGCAACGTGGCCAGTGAGACGGAGGCGCCGGACTGTTAACTGTCTCTAAACAGCCACCCGTGGTGAGCGGTTACTACACTGCTCGGTGCGAATCCAGACCGTGCATTCTCATACAAGGAGGGTCACAGGGGGATTACGTGTGCTCAGGTCCCTGACAATCTCCTCCCAACTTCCATCTTGCTTTTTGGGGACAACTCGGACCCTTCGCACTGCCCAGGCCCTGCCCCCAGGGAAGGCTTAGGCCCCCTCTCCCCCCGCCCCCGCCAGCTGGGAGGGACCGGGCACCTGCATGAGCGGCGGCTTCCAGCGCAGGTTTCTCAGGGGCGCAGGGGTGAAGTTGAAGGAACCCGAGGGGCGCTTCTTCAGCAGCAGCACGACTCCCGTGGGATTCTCCCGCAGCTTCTTCACCAGGTTCTTGAGCTGCCACCCCACCTGCACACAGAGAACATGGAGAGAGGGGACTCACTCACCAATAAGGCAAAGAAATCAAAATAAAACCCATGGATGTGTCTCAAGGAGAGAGACACGCTGGTGAGCAAATAGATACCAACAGGCTGATACCAATATGTCCATCTGGGCCCTACTTAACGTTATGGAAAAGGGGATATAAAGTGAAATTTTTAAAAATTCAAGCACAATGGCTTTGGATTTAATGAGAAGTTCTAGAGGGGGAATATTTAGTCTGAATTCACAACGAAAAACTCACCACAGTCTGCCGGTTAACCTGGATGACTTCATCGCCAGCATGAATCTTCTGGGATCTGTCTGCAGGAGACTATTAGAGAGAGAGAGAGAGAGAGAGGAGGGGACGTCTTATTTTTTAAACTTTATATTTCTTTCTGATTTTACTTCTTCCTCCTTTCTTCTGTAGACCATGAACAATAAAAATATAATTTTCTCAAGAAAAATTACACAATATACTGCGTTCCCTGCAACTACATTGTCTGTAACACCAGGCAAATGAGTAGCTGTGTTATCTTTTATCAGGGGTCCGTTATAACAGATAACCTGCCAGTTACAAGAGCCGGGTCACGTCACCTACCAGAAGTGGGGCACATTGGACACATGATGAGTTGACCAAAGCCATTGGTTCATCTAAAAGACATTTTACCTTTCCTCTGTGCAAAGTTAATCTTGTGAAAGCTGGCCCACTGTATAACATGTGAAGACCATCACTGCGCCATTCTACCTCCCATTAAGTGATTGCTAAAGCTAAAGCTTATTGTTACTCAACCTTGCTTCGCAGGAAAGATAAGCCTTTGATTTCAAATGATAGTCAAATGTCACCTAAGCCAGAGTATTTTATTTGGTAAATTATGTAACTGGCTGAATCCCCAACAATTGACAACTCTCCTTTAAAAAAATAAATAGCACCTGTGAACATGGTGGGGATGGGGGTTCTCATCTAAGCTCAAAACACACTTGGCTTAATTTTCTCACTCAACCGTTGTGACAGGCTCAGCAAGAAAGGAGCAAAAGCAGCCTGAAACTGAGGAAACTTTCCCTCCGGTTTATCTAGGTCCAACACCGAGCCCGGGTGTGACTGCTGTTTGTAAAAAACATGCCACATGCTACCATAACAACCAGCAGTGCCTCACCTGGGAGCCGAGCATCGTGGAGAGCGGAGGGAGTTGGCCTAACTCCCATCTCCCTCCAGAGGCACTTAAAAATAGATGCACGTGTCACTGCTCCTTCCTGCCCTGCGTGTCAGGTGCTTAACCCACAGCGACAGACCAACTTTTCCAGTTCATCTTCCCAGGCTAAGGATGCTTTTAAAGGTAAGTGTCACATTCTCAGAGATGGTCTCAAAGGCCAGGGAGTCCCTGATTACAGATGTGCAATCTTACACAACAAGCCAGTGTCCTGAACTGACTCCCCCTGCTAAGGATCTGCATGCATTCATTTCTCAAGTGACCAACCAAGTGATTAGGAGCTGTGCTTGGCAGAACACTGGTAAAGAGAGAGCCCGATACCAAAAGTCTCCCCAGGGCCACGGCCCGTGCCTATCTTCAAAAACGATGCTTGTTCTGGTTTGCAGCAGAAGGGTGATGACCTGAAGAAGAATGTGTCCATTCTTCAGAAGCTAATCTGATGCCCACCTCATCTCGGGGGTCAGGGGACACAGGAGTATGTCAAGACTCCTGTAAAGGTTTTGACCAACATAGGGAAAAAAAAAAAAAAAAGCCTGATAGAGAATCACTGGATATTGGTTAGTCTGACCTTGGAAAAATGATTGTGGCTTCTCAAATAACCTAAAAAAAAAAAAAAAAAAAAAAAAATAGGGACTGGAGGACTGAGATGGCCCCTGGCATTGCTTCAGCCTGGAATCCAAGATAGAGGACTATGGAAACCACGGGTTTGGCAATGCAGTGGCTGATTCCTGTCCACTCCCACCCACCACAGGCTTCCCTGAAGACGGTGAAGTCAGAGAGAGCGCTTACAGCTGGAAAGCTGCCCCGGGGCTGGCATTGTCATCAGCATGAACGGTAAGATGTCCAGAGGAAGCCCATGAGCAGTGGACTCTTCCCCAACCTCCCACCCTCACCTACAAGTCTCAGCAAGTGCTCAGCACATTCCAGGCACTCGGCGAATGCGGCTGAATGTCTGAAAGAATGAGGGCCATTCTCAAATGGATTCCCAAACAGGATAAGATGGGTGTTCATCTATTTTGCCTTTAGCTGGTTGGAAACCACCTCTCTCTGGATGACTTGGGTACCATCTCTCACTAGGATCAACCACCCTGAATCAGTCACACGGTCTTAGGAGTCTGGTAGAAATTCTAGGAAATGAATCATGACATTTGATGTTGCTTTTGATTCAAAAGCAACTTATTTAGTCTCTCATTCAACTCTCATCCTTAAAACAAAAGGGGGGGTGCATTTTGAAGATAAAAAAATCTGTGTGCCTCCTGAAAAATTATAGTGTTCTACACTTATAGCTAAGGTTGAAATGGCTTCAAGACCAGAGAGAATTTGGAACCACACAGGTCTGGTTGTTAGTTCAATCACCAGATCGCCAGTGAAAAACTTCACCTCGCCGAGACTGGTTTGGCTCAATGGATACAGCGTCGGCTTGGGGACTGAAAGGTCCCGGGTTCGATTCCGGTCAAGGGCATGTACCTTGGTTGCGGGCATATCCCCAGTAGGAGGTGTGCAAGAGGCAGCTGATCGATGACTCTCTCTCATCGATGTTTCTGGCTCTCTATCTCTCCCCCTTCCTCTCTGTACAAAATCAATAAAATATGTTTAAAAAAAACCCACAAAACTGAAATATCATTCACCATCCTTCTGAATCCATCCAACCCTAAAACAATGCATGAGCAGTACACAAATATATTCTTGTCATGGTGCAGCTGAAATATACAAAATACCAGATAAAGATAAGAGATGAACTATGTAATCTTTATGCATTTTTTGGCACCATCCCCAGCCTAAAAGCAGTACTGTTATTGCCTATCAGGTGAGGTAGTTTAAACTTCCTAGTGATGCCCTGGCCGGCTAGCAGGGGTCCTCAAACTTTTTAAAGTGGGGGCCAGATCACGGTCCCTCAGAGAGCTGGAGGGCCGGACTATATGAACTACTAATTCCTACTGTAACACCTCGGCTGCGCTCACTGCCCAAAAAACCTGGCGGGCCGGATCAGACTCCTCTGCGGGCCGCATGTGGCCCGCGGGCCGTAGTTTGAAGACGCCTGTAAGAGTGTTGTTCCGATATGCCAATGTTTCAAGTTAGATCCCTGATGAGGGCACATACAAGAGTGAATCAATGATAGGTGGAGTAACAAATCAATCTCTCTCTCTCTCTCTTCCCCCTCCCATGTCTCTTATTCAATTAAAAAACAAACAAACAAAACAAAAAACCTCCCAGTGGTTCTCAGTGTAGCTCAACAGAGAATGCTTAAAGACACTACCATCTTCTACTTTTCCATCTGCCAGAACCACATAGTTTATCTATAATTCATTGACTGCCTAAAGCAGCGTTTTTCAACCGCTGTTCCGCGGCACACTAGTGTGCCGCGAGATGTTGCCTGGTGTGCCGTAGGTGCAGACAAGACAAGAATTTTATAATTTTTCACTATTTTGTTTACTTAATATTTCATAATAAAGTAATTATAAAATACTTTCTTTGTGTTTATTTGATTCCTATTCAAGAGAATTACTTTATATATAGTCAATATAGGCACAGAGTTAAATTTTTTAACATTTTCTAATGGTGGTGTGCCTCGTGATTTTTTTCATGAAACAAGTGTGCCTTTGCCCAAAAAAGGTTGAAAAACACTGGCCTAAAGCAATGTCATTTTCTTACCACAAAAATCAACCGTGTGTCACAAACTCTCATAAAAGTTCACGCCATTTTATTTTATCAAAAGACCTACAGCTGAAGCTCAAAATTCAACACATATTTCCACCAGATTAGAAAGTCCATACCAAACTTCTTCTATTTTAAGAAATTATTTCCTCTTGTCTTAGTTGATTAAACGGTAGATTAATTCCACAGACACAGGCTTCCTTTACACAGATCCTGGAAGCTAGTCAAACACTCTAAGTTTCATATCAATGTCACTTAAAAGCTAGCCATATTATAGGTTGCCAAAAAAAAAAAAAAAAAAAAAAAAAAAAGCATTCACTTAACTCTACTCACAAATTCAAAATGTTTGAAGAGCTATACAAAAAATACCATGCATGTAGCCAAATTTCCAAAAGAAAGGTGACAGTGTACAAAGTCTCTTGCAGTAGAAATAGCCTTGCTCTTCCCTATTCAAAGGATAGGGGGGTGACCTAAATTTCATTATCAAGCCAAATATTATGAAACTAGAGGCCTGGTGCACAAAATTCACACATGGGGGTGGGGGGGCCCTTAGCCTGGCCCTCACTCTCTCCAATCTGGGACCTAGAGGAATCAGGCCTAAACCAGCAGTCTGACATCCCTCTCACAATCCAGTGGCTCCTAACCACTCAACTGCCTGGCTGCCTGATCGCCCCTAACTACCTCTGCCTGCCAGCCTGATGGCCCCTAACCGCCTCTGTCTCGGCCCCTGCCACCATGGCTTTGTCAGGAAGACATCCAGTCTAATTAGCATATTGCCCTTTTATTAGTATAGATACAACTCTATAAAAGGGATCTGTTATGCCAACATCCCAAAATAGTTGCTTTGATGACTCATAAATTTCACTGAACCAAAAAAACACACCACATTTTACACATATGCTTACCAATTCTGTTGAGTGGTTCTCAACAGCAAAGAGAGCATTGTTTTTGTATTCACGCATGAACACTTCCGGAGAGCAAAAGGAACACTGAACACAAGGAGGTGGGGGTAAAAGCTGGGCAAGGCACATGAGCACGAGCAGCGAAGGGCAATTTAAATAATACATTGGCAGCAGCTGGCGATGAGCCGCGTGCACTAGCCACAGACATAAGCCACACGGCACCCACACCCTCACTACAGACAACAAAACAGCAGGCCCGCATCCGAACGAGAAGCGTGGGTCTCTGTGTCTCATCGGTTTAAGCACCCAACAGCTCTTACACGGAACGGACAGGCACTCACATTCTCCGTGGTCCCGGTGATCACGTGCAGCCCATCGTAGGTCGACTTGATGTACATGCCCTGGAGGGAGTCACAAACACATGAGCATTCAGAAACGCAGCCGCAAGTGGGACTTGAACTTATCCAACATTGAAGGCAGGCCCTGCAGAACAATGCTCATTGTCCGGCCTCCTGGAACATTGTGAAACACGACCCTGAGAGCCGTGGGGACCGCTCCGCCAACCAAGACACCATTAAAGCAATCGGAAGCGGCATCTCTCTGATGTGGTGGCTTGGGTCCCAGGCACCCCGAATTCTGCCGTGACTCTGGGGACTTGGAAGGAATCTTCTCAGCCCCGCAGCGTGAATAAGGCTTTTCAGATGAGGACGGTTCCCTCCTGACCACCTTTGTCAGCGACACAATATAGCCGGTTACACCGGAGATCAGCAGTCGTGGCAGGGGACTGCTCATGCCACTCACAGCCCAGACCAGGATTATGAACGAAGATGGTCACTAACACTTCAGGGGGAGTAAACGAGAAGCAGGCACCCTTCGTTTTTAAGATGCATATTCTCCTCCCTCAAGGGCCTGCTAGGCACTCTCAGAAATAATTTGCCATGTCATTGAGGAGGCCACATTGCTGCAGTTTGACATGTCCATTATAAAAATGTTCGTTAAACTTTTTAAAAATGTATACTCCTATTGATTACACTGATTTCAAAGAGGAAGGGAGAGGGAGACAGAGAGAGAGACAGAAACATCAATGATGACAGAGAATCATTGGTTGGCTGCATGCCCCCGACTGAGGATGGAGCCTGCAACCCAGGCATGTGCCCTGACTCAGGAATCGAACCGTGACCTTCTGGTTCTTAAGTTGATGCTCAGCCACTGAGCCACTCAGTAGGTTGGGCTACTGAGCTTTTATAAGGTGGGGAAAGAGAGCAGAAAGCTGATTGGACAAAGAGTACTGGCTCACGCTGGTATCAATACCACCACAGCGTAGATCCTGCCAAGAAATCATTTGGACCCTGAACTCACCCACACCCTCTCCAATGAGAACCTCCGCAAATATGACACCTTCAGGGTTCTCCCCACTCCTCCTTCTGGTTGCTTTCATCCTCAGAGTGAGCAGCTTCTCCCTACATGCGGTACTCCTCTGCCCAGGGCACATGCTGTAACTGAACCATCTGAAATGGCCACTCCATTTCTGCCCACTCGGGCCATGACTGTTTCATGTGCCTATGAACTGCCCCCTGAGAAGCCTTCCCTGCCGTCTGTTACAAACCACCCCTCACTCTGGAGGCCGAGCAGTCTCCGTATACCCAGCTCTACTTACTGAAAATGAGCGCTTGTCCATGCTGGGCTGCCTTTGGTTTTTTGTCTGAGAGCAGAGACTGCCTTGATATCTCTACACAGCTGCTAGGCACTCTCCCTCCTCCTCCTACTCTCCTCCTCCTCCTGCTCCTCCCCATTCTCCTCCTCCTCCCTCTCCCCCTCCACAGCAGCTACAGTAGCCATAGCCACCCACCACGGCACCTGTACCAAGTGCCTGGCACTCAGCAGCCATCATCTGACTTAATGCCTTCAACAACCCCGTTATTATTATTATTCTCTTTAGACCGATGAGGACACCGCCATATAAAGAGATCCACATCATTTGAGGGTTCGTGTTAGACCCTGACTGAAAGCTCTAAGCTCACCAATGGGCCTCACAACTTCTTCACTTAACTTCAGCACACTAATCACATGGGCTGCACACCAGGGACAGGGCAATCTGGTGTCCAGGCACTGAGCTAGGTAGCCAGGTGTGAGCCTGTGTGTCTTCTTGGGGCCTGGTGTTGTAGAGCTCAGACAGGACTGGTGAAGCATTTCTGAGTGTTGTTTTGTGTGTGTGTGTGTGTGTGTTTTTAAATATATTATTATTGATTTTAGATAGGAAGGAAGAGGGAGAGAGAGATAGAAACATCCATGACAGAGAATCATGGGTCGGCTGCCTCCTGCAAGTCCCCCAATGGAAATCAAGCCCGCAACCCAGGCATGTACCCTTGGCCAGAATCGAACTAGGGACCTTTCAGTTCACAGGCCAATGCTCTATCCACTGAGCCAAACTGGCGAGGGCTCTGAGTGTTTTTTTTTTTAAGCATTTATTTATTTATTTATTTATTTATTTATTTTTACATATTTTATTGATTTTTTTTTGCCCCCCTCCCTCCCACACATCCCCTCCCTCCCCAGAGTTTTATGTCCATTGGTTGTACTTATGAGTGTTTTTTAAGAGTCATTCCTTCCACGCAGCCTCCCCGCTCCTCCGTCTGCTTTGCACCCAGAGACCATCTTTCCTCTGTGACTGCTGCTGTCTATGTCCTTGCATTGCTAAGTCCTGAACATAAAGCTGCGGAGACAATTCTTCCAAGGTCTGAGTGGGCAGTTTTAAACTTGATTCACTTTTATTTACTTCTAAATTTTTACTTATTACATTGATTGCAGTGAGACTGGCCCAGATGAACACGTGTGGATTTCGACGCTATAAGTCTGTATATTGCACCATGTGCTCACCTCCCAAAGCCAGATCTTATTTTATACTCTGAAGACACAAAACCTACCCAACAGGTCAAGAAGGCAAATGCCTAGCAACATGATGGAAGACAGTCTTGCCCAGTGGTCGGCAAACTCATTAGTCAACAGGGCCAAATATCAACAGCACGACGATTGAAATTTCTTTGGAGAGCCAAATTTTTTAAACTTAAACTTTTTCTAACGCCACTTCTTCAAAATAGACTCGCCCGGGCGGTGGTATTTTGTGGGAGAGCCACACTCAAGGGGCCAAAGAGCCGCATGTGGCTTGTGAGCCGCAGTTTGCCGACCACAGGTCTAGTTGGACTCTATTGATAGTGAGCGCCGGGGGCACCATGAAAGGCTTTAACGTGATGGCGTGACTGCGGTCGGCGTGCTTACCAGGCCTTCCCCGGGCCTGATGTTCGGCAGGTGGACTTCCTCCAGGCACGCACACTGGCTCATGACAGGGTCCGTGGTCGAGCGGATTGTTTTGTCACAGATGCCATTTAAAACCTTGACCTGGAATTGGAGAGGCAAAGCGTCAGGAAAGGCTCAATCGTTAACCAGGTTCGCCTGGAGCTGAATTTTAAAGCAACGAGCTCCACCTACAATCCTTAGCTCTGGTTGGCAATCATTTCGACAACCGCTCCACGAACGCATGGCCCTTTAACTCCCTGTGTGTCACCCTCTGTGGGAATGTGCCCCTCTCAGCTCTGCCTCGCGGGGGCAGCTTTCATGCTGTCTCATTTACAACCACTCAGGCAGCAGCTGGCAGGAGCCCCCTGTTGCTGGCTGAGAATCATCGATTCCCAGCCCTCTGTAACTTTTTAGTGATCATTCGCATTCTTTGCATTCCACATATTGACAAGGCCCAAGTCGCTTTACCTGCACCTGTTTTATTTTCATCAGTTTTGTTTTTCAAAGCAGTTCTCGGTTTACAGAAAAAACTGAACAGAAAGTGCAGAGTTCCCCCATATTTCCTTTTCCACCCAGCTTCCAATAGTTCTATTACTCTAGTATAAATAATAATAAGATATTATTAACATCTTGCATTAGTGTGTTACATTTCTTGAAGGTTATTATCCAATATGGAGAGATTATGATGAGCTCAAGTCCATAGTTGACACGAGGTTCTCTTTTGTGCTGTACAGGTCTGCGGGTTTTGACAACTGTATAGCATCCTGTACCCACCATGACGGTATCATACAGAATAGTTTCTCTGCCCAAAAAATTCCCTGTGCTCCACCTCATCATCTCTCTCCCTCCCCCCCATCACGAATCCCTGGCAATCCCTAGTTTTTTTCAGTTTCCATGATTTTGTCATTTCCAGGATGTCAAATAGAATTGCACAGCCTGTGGCCTTCTCAGACTGGCTTCTTGCACTTAGGAACATGCATTTAAGGTCTCTCCCATCTCTCTTCATGGTTTGGGAGCTCATTTCTCTTTATTGCCGAATACTCTTCAGCAATAAATTGCCCGGATGGACCACTGGACACTTTGTTTATCCCTTTAGCTACTGCAGGACATCTCGGTTGCCTCCAAGCTTGGGCAATTCTGAACAAAGCTGCTATCACCACATTCTGTGCAATTTTTCGTAGATGTGTTTCATTCTTTCAGATAAATACCTAGATCACAGGGTTAAGAGTATGTTTAGTTTTGTAAGAAACTGCCAGGCTGATTGCCAAAGTGGCTGGAGCCCTTTGCATTCCCAGCAGCTACGGGGGAGGGTTGCTGTTGTTCCTCATGGTTGCCAGCATTTGGTGGTGTCGTGTTTTGAACTTTAGCTACTCTACTCCGTATATGGTGGTGTCTTGTTTTAATTCTCAGTTCCCTAATGTTGGACATCTCTCCCAATACTTCTTTGCCAGCCATATATCTTTTCTGATGAGGTGTCTGCTCAGATCTTTTGCTCACTTTTTAACTGCATCGTTTGTTTTCTTATTATTGAGTTTTGAGGATTCTTTGTGTATATCTGATTTTTAAAATATTTTTTCCGGCCTGGCACTTACCTATCTTTTCCTTCTCTTGTTGCATTTCATGGACAAGAGTCTTAAATGTTGATGAAGTCTAACCTCGTCAATTTGGTTCATGCATTTGGTGTCGTACCTTAAAGCTTCATCGCCAAACCTCAGGTCACCTAGAATGTCTCCTGTTCCTTTTCCAGGAATTTTATAGTTTTGGGTTTTAAAATCAGGTCTACGATCTTTTTTGACGGTGGCGGTGCTCGCATTCTTTGAATGCCAAACACTGACAAGGTGACATTCTGGAGACAATGGGCGGATCCCTAGTCAACAGTCTCCAGGCAGAAATCACAGCGGGCACGTGTGGGCACTCCCCCCCAATCAGATCCATCTATCCTTTCAAAATCAAGCAACCAAAACAATCAGGAAATTCCAAAGAGTGATTCGTTTTTTTCCACGGGGGAGAATCCAACAACTGACACTTTTTTAATTCCTCCAATTTGTTTAGCCTCCCTATTTATGAAGAATATATTTATAGCAGCTTCATTGCTGAATTCCTCAACATCAGTAGGAGCAATTCCTTATCAAAAGAGCACAGGCCAGCTCATGTCAAAAGGAGGAAACGATGATGAATAGTTACGAAATGCCATTAAACAGCCACGGCACATCCCCCGTTCGGAAGGCTTGTGCCAAGAATTTTTTTTGTTTGTTTTAATCAAAACCGTCCTCAAGTAAAATTGGCAGATCGGTTTCGCCCTGATTAACAGACTAGCCATCAGTTTAATTAAACCTCACACGCATGAAATGCTCATGGGGAAAAAACAAAAAGCAGAAGAGCGACCCCAATATATCCAAGTGCAGCACAGGAATTTGCACAGTAGTTGGTCTGGTTGTTAAGTAACTTTTATTCTTCCCTTTCCATCTACATGAATAGACCCATATCCCGAGAGCCAGTATTTCAAAGTATATCCTGAAGTAACGGACCACAATGCACTTGCTTTAATTCCTGTAGTTCTCACTGTTTGGGGAAAGAGAATGTTCCAGTAACTTTGAGAACATATACTTACCACGGATAGAACTTTATCCTCCATTTCTGCTACGAGACAATCCTAAAGAAGAGAAGAAGAAAAATGAAAACTAAATACAAGAATTAAAATTTGACTAAATCTGTTGGCTTAAGCGATCTAGATATTTTTTGGTCTCAAGACTGTCCCCGCAATGTCCCCCACCCTGCAGCCTGAGCAATCCTGAATGGACAGGAGGCCGAACGGAGGACAGACCTGGATGGAGTGGCCATTCGACTTCTCCTAAGGCTCTGCTCCATCCTGACCCAGCGGCCTTATCAACCCGAGGACCCATCTGACTGGTGAATTAACCTGAAAACCTACAAAATCACTGGGCTGAGACCCACCTGCTGGCCAGGCCAGGCGGAGAGTAGGCCAGAAGCCAAGGTCCACAAAACCTGACGAAGACTCCCCGATGTGACCCTGGGGCTCAGCTAGCACAGGGCCAACAGCCAGGCGTCCTTAGCGCTGGGCCTGCCTACGAGAACAGCTTTCAAGTAAGGGCTCAGCCACCCCAGTTTATTTTAAGCGCCACTGAGATGACATCAGATGGTTCTGTCCCTCAACAGATGCGAAGGGTTCAACAAAGCATTCATGTACCCCGGTGCCAAAAATGTGGTCTGGAGGTATGCTACTAATGACGTTCAATCGAGAGCCGGAACGCCAGGCATTGTTTACTCAGCTTTAGAACAAAAGACCTGAAGCGGCATGGACCGGGTGAGCTGATTGTAGGAACCGCCGCTGTCCCGTCCAGAAGCAGCCAAAGCGAAACGCTCTCCACGGCTACAACCCGCTGCGGCCCAGGACTCCGGCTAGGAGGCCCGTGCACGCCGAGGAAAGGGAGACCAGCCGTCCTTCCTGCTCTCAGCGCCGTGAGTATAACCCCGGGCTGGGCCTTCCAGGGCACATGCTGGCTGCCTCCTGTGCACGGAGGATATCAATCACCTCTGAGGGGATCATCAACTTCCTTCAATCACAAAGTCATTTTGGGTCAGGCGGGAGTAGGGATGGAAAGAGCTAGCAGTGTCTGCACTAGGTCAGTGGTCAGCAAACTGCGGCTCGCAAGCCACATGCGGCTCTTTGGCCCCTTGAGTGTGGCTCTTCCACAAGATACCACAGCCTGGGTAAGTCTATTGTGAAGCGGCACTTCAGGGAGAAGCCTGCCTGCACTGTGTTCACGCCATCTGAGCCAACCCTAATAAAGGAGTTCCCCTAGAATCCTATTTCAACCAATAGGACTGAGGCTTTCCCCATCCAATTGGAGCTGCACAACTCTGACCAACCAGAGCAGCTTTACTCTGACCAATCAGGACAGTGCAAACTGATCAAACTGTGAGAATATGGAGTCCTCATTTGCATGAAGACAGACCAATCAGAGACCAGGGACAGGGACTTCTGTCTATATAAGCCAGCTCCTCTCTGGCTCAGGAGAGTGTACTTTCCTTTCCACCAATGACTGCACGCTCTTCCCTCGCTGAGCTGAAACACCAAAGATGTCTCCATGGACAGGAGGGGAGCAGGCCACAGCAGAGTAGACTGGCACAGAATGCAGCAGCTCGGCAGGGCACAAAGCTGAGCTGTCTAGCCAGATAGGGCCCTGGCCCCAAGGCTGCCTCACGGCCCTGCTGTATCACAATTGAGCTGTTTTACACTAAATAGTTTTCCTTCTTCATCAAACCCAATTCGGGGATCCCTATTGGCAATGAATTGTCACCAACAATCATCGTTTGACACACTCGTGAGCAAAACGTTCCCCTTTGCTAATTACTATGTTTAACTTTGACTCTTACACGGTCATTTTCATTGATCACAGGTAAATTCTTTAAAAAATCAAAATAGGAGACAGAATATAGGGGGAGAGGGAAGCAGAGAAGAAAAAGAAAGCTGAAGGTGTCAGAGAAATAAATGTCTTCCACACCACGAATGCCAGGACGGAGTGCCTAATGCACCACAAGTGGTATCAGACTGGTTTTGTCAAGATGACTTTCCACATCATAAAACAGAGCCGAGACTCAGAGCTCCTTCTACAGTGCTGAGCTCCTGTCAAAGAACATGGCCTCAATGAAAAGTGAAGCCACATGTGCCTTAAGTTCAATGGCTGCCAGGACTGGACCTCAAACAGCTGCCCGTGCAAAGCCAGACTTCACTCTCCATGTTCCAGGAACAAAAAGGAAGCGCCTGGCCCTTCAGAACTGCACCTGTCACATGACACAGGCAGCGGGGGGGGAAAGGACATTCTTTACTCTTTGCCAAATCAGCGGTGGGAACTAGTGTGGGATCAGAATTTTGGAAACAAATGAAACGCGAAAAAAAAGAACAATCTCTTCTTACATTTTATAGCCTCCATTCCATTCAAAAATATTTTATGGTGTCTGCTAGGTGCCAGGGAAAAGCACAAGAAGTGACCTTATGCCCTGGCCGGTTTGGTTCAGTGGATGGAGCGTCGGCCTGCAGACTGAAGAGCCCCGGGTTCGATTCCAATCAAAGGGCATGTACCTTGGCTGCGGGCACATCCCCAGTGGGGGGTGTGCAAAAGTTAGGTGATCGATGTTTCTCTCTCATTGATGTTTCTAACTCTCTATCCCTCTCTGTAAAAAGTCAGTAAAATATATTTAAACAACAACAAGTGACCTTGCGAGCTGATGGTCTCATGAGATTTTTTTTTAAAGTTTGGGTCACAGAAACTAGTTAAGTTATAGGTTGATACCAATCTCCCTGGCCCTAGGCCTGGCCAATGAGTTGTGAGTGAAATGGACACGTGTCATTTCCAAACCAGAACATTCGTCAGTGTACAATCCTCCAAGGGCCACTGTCTCTCTGCCCGGGGACCAGGAACATGAGATGCTGGTTATTCTGCCAGCCTACGTCCTCAAGTGAAGAGCATCGGAGCAGCTCCCCAAACTGACCCCTTTGGATCTGGATAATCGGGAAATACATGCTGAGGTTGGGGATTCTTTGTTACTGCATCCTAACCTAGCTCATCCATCCTGACTGGTAAACCCAACCATCAGGGGTCAAAACGAAAAGAAGACTCAGAACAAAGATTATTGTGAAATGTAATGACTCCAGAATTTCTATCTGGGAAAAAAAATTAAGTGCTCAAACATTTTAGAGAAAGTACAGGACCATTTGCTCAACTATTTGGAAAGAAGAGAAGGTAATCTTTGAGGTAAAAACCGCTGGTTTGGTTACATTTTCAGAAACCATCTACTCAATGCCTCTAATGGAAAGGCCTTCATCTCTCCCCAATTCTGACGGGGGAAATGGAGAGAGAGAAAGCATGATACCTCATACCTGCACGGAACCCTCTGAAGAAGAGGGAAAGGGACAGGGGAGGAAAAGCTGGTTAGGAGGCCCCAGCCAGGCACTGACCTTCTGGACTGTGGTGGTCAGGTCCAAGCACAGCTGAATGATTTTGTTCTTCGTGACTGACAAGTCAGTGATCCCTGTAAATGGGGCCCTAGAAAGCAAAAAATATTCCCTTTTAAAAAGTGAGGGGGGGGGGGGGGGGCCCCACTGGGATCCCGCACTATGCCGACAAGCAGAGAGCCTCAACAAGCTGGCTTAAATTGTGTGTTGTGTAACCATTCCTCTCACGTAACACACAATCAGTTCTCTGAATAGGAAACAGAGAAGTGCTAGACAAAAAAAAAAAAAATTAAAAATGAGCCAAGAGAATAAATGTCCCTTCAGAAGTCAACCAACAGCCTTCACATGACCGAATAATCATTAATGTTTAACGTCTGTGAAACACACCGTTAGCACAGTTTCGCTCTTCTGTAAGCTGGGTTAATTTGTCCCTCCCAGTCACTTCCCAGTAACTTCCAAAGGGGGGCTGGAGACCCCCACTGACCCCGCAGGCCTGCAGAGGCCCCTCCTGCACGTGGAAGGCCAGGGGCAGGGACGGTGGCTCATGCTCCTAAGACGAAGCACAGGCCTGTCCCCTCGGGCCCTCCTCTCACAGGACGTCAAGCAGCCACAACTCACCGGTCCAGCCAGGACAGCAAGGCCTTGGCCGCGCCGATGAGCTCCACCACGGACGTCAGGAACTCGTTGGGGGGCTTGCGGGACGTGTTCCCGTCGTACGCGGGGCTTTTCCGCCGGCTGCTGATGTAATTCTGCAAGTTGTGGGAGGACGCGCGCAGTTTCAGAACCAGGTTCTTCATGTTGTCGGTTTCAAGGCCGTAATTCTGTGGGAAATAAAACCAGACAGGTTGATGCAAGACAATGAGCCATGCCATCATAGCGCGAAAGCGCACGGAGTGACCCGGATCACTCCTACAATGGCCACAGAGCCCTCCGTCGTTTACCCACAGCGCTGACCTCACCTGCAATGGCCACACGGTCCCTCCCACAGCCTGCTCTTGCCTCGGGGACTTTGTTCTTGCTAGTTCCTCTCTCAAAATGCTCTTTGGACAAATCTCGGCAGGGACAGGCCCCTCTCACTAACATCCAGATTAGCCCAGCCAAAGTCGGTTTGGCTCAGTGGATAGAGCATCGGCCTGCAGACTGAAGGGTCCAGGGTTCGATTCCGGTCAAGGGCATTTCCCTTGTTGCCGGCACATCTCCAGTAGGGGGTGTGCAAGAGGCAGCTGATTGATGACTCTCATCGATGTTTCTAACTCTCTATCTCTCTCCCTTCCTTTCTGTAAAAAATCAATAAAAATATATATATATTTTTAAATTAGCCCTAACATCCCCGCTCTTCTTTGAGGCTCCCAGGACTATCTAGAGCAGACCTCCCAACCTACTGCCATTGGGAGTCCGATGACTGGGAGGAGGATTCTGTCCACAGCAGGATGTTTAGCTGTCCTATACTCACTACATAGCAGCAGCAACCTGGTCCCCAGTTGTAACAACCAAAAATGTCTGCAGACACTGCCAAATACCCCTCAGATAGGGGATAGCGCCTCCCCTCTCCCTTCTCTGAACCCTCTGATTGGCTGCGCCATCCTCAGGGAGGCAGGATCCCTGAGGGCAGGGCTGTGTGCAGCTCCCCAGGGCTCCCCAGCCCAGCAGCCAGGAAAGCAGGGCCCGTAGATGCATTTCCACCAGAGGACACTCTCCCAGGAGCAGAGCAGCACTAACTGAATGTCAATTCGCCTGAAATGCAATTTCCGTCCCGGGAGCCTCTGTTCTTTCTGAACGATGCCCCACTGACTTGGGTGCTTTAAAAAAAAAAAATCAATTTCATAGGACAATATTGCCTAGACTCCCTGGCTGATAAAAAGCAAATTCCAGGAAAACACCATATCCATCCGATACGGCTCCAGCAGGAGTGGGGAGAGGAGCTTCTGTATTATCATCTGTTTAATCATTTTAACGAAAAAGTGGAGACCTTTCTGGGGTACATAACACTGTGTCAACCGCAGCCCAAGGCAAGAGCCGGTGCTGTTTCACCATCGGGACCAATACCATGGCCCACGGGACGGGACCTCCTGTGCCAGGAACCGGGCTAAGCGTTGGACAAGAATAATCCGAGGTACACAGGCTGTGCCAGTGGAAATGATGTTTTCTCTGGGGGACAGAGACATTAAATAAGTTGGGCAGTTACACTGCTAACCAGTGGTAGGGGTGGGGTTCGAACCCGCGCAATCCGGGCTGAGGGGACGAGCTTCTGGTCGCGATGCTGTTTGCCCCCCTTTCACACTCCTGTCCAAGGAAGAGCAAAGCGATCACACAGAAAACTGGACAAGAAAAAAGGACAGCCGAAACCGGTTTGGCTCAGTGGATAGAGCGTTGGCCTGTGGACTCAAGGGTCCCGGGTTCGATTCCAGTCAAAGGCAGGTACCTTGGTTGCAGGCACATCCCAGTAGAGGGTGTGCATGAGGCAGTTGGTGGATATTACTCTCTCACTGATGTTTTTCTAACTCTCTATCCCTCTCTCTTCCTCTCTGTAAAAAAAAAAAAAAAAAATCAATTTTATACACACACACACACACACACACACATATATTTTTATTTTTTTTTTAAAGAAAAGAAAGAAAAAAGGGACAGTGCCAGTGATCCTAGATCCAGCTCTAACCAATGAGCTGGTGAACTCACCCATTCTCTCCTGCCCTGCCCCACCCCCTCTACTGTGTCAGAGGCTTCCTTTAGGCAGCCAGGCCTCAGCCTTCTGGAAGCCAGCAGGCACGCTCTGGATCTGAGCAATGCTTTTGTCCCCCGATCAGACTGTCCCTTAGCCTCTCCTCTCTCGCAGCCCCAACCCCTTCCGCTCCAGGAGAGCCATGTCTTAAGATCACGATAAACAAAGCATAATATACCGGGGAGCTCTTTTTCTTTTTCTTCTTTTTTCTTTTTTCAGGATGAACAATGGTAATAACAATAACAGCAAGGCTTTACCTTAATGAAAACTTGAACTAGCTTTTATTTAATGTTTCAATATATGTTGCTTCCTAGTCGAATAAAAAGTATTTTTTATTTAGATAAAAATCTTGAAAAAGGGTTAAGTACCAATGCAAAGAAAGAAACACACACACACACACACACACACACAAAACTCCCAGATCCATGAATTAAAAAACTATTTTGCAAACCTTAAAAATACACCATAAATGTCACAATAAAAATGAGTGCTCTGCATTAACAGTAATGTTCTACCAGAACTTTCCATTCATTCATTTCCCCCTCACTATCCTTCTCTAGAGACTCGCACATGAAATTGTCCTTGGACAGAGAAGACAGAAATGAAAAGATGGACTTGCACGTGGCTTTTCAATTCAGAGAATCAGGCTCACCGGCGAATGGATAAAGGGCCGCCGGACACAGCTGGTCCCAGAGGGCAGGAGAGGATCACTGAAGGGAACTGTCCCTCGTTCAGTCAATTACTCAGCTGCCATCTCACAGCAAGCCTTCGGAACTAAAAGCAGGAAAGCCTGCTTTCTGGTGACCCTCAATTCCTGGGAACGTTCACTACCAACACAACCGTTACTTCTTGAACTCTCAGGGGATTAAATGCATGTGGGTGCTGCAAGAAGCTTTAAACCTCCACCTCCTACAAACCCGCCACATATAATATTAAAATAGCTGCTTCTTATTAACTGTTCTTCTCATTGCCACTCCATTTGCTGGTTCTTTCTATTTTTCAAAAAAAAAAAAACAAACAAAAAAACAAGCAATGAGACTGGAAGGATGAATCCATGTGCTATAATAAAAAATATTTTTTAAAAGAAGGGAGGAAGGAGGGGCTAAGTTAGGCAGGGAAATTCCTCCCCCACCACCCCTTCCCACCATAACAAGAAAACACACTGATGGTATCAGTTCAACAGAACTTCTGCTGTAGAGGCAGGACCGGGAAAGGGGTATTGACTAAAGTGCCCCACAATGAGAGGCAGAAAAGGAACAATTTCTCAGAACAGACTTGATTATTTTCACTAATCTTTTCCCTAAAACCTGTCTCCTTCAGAAACTGCTTGAAGATAAGGTGTCAAGAAAATACAAACGAGGCAGGAGAGGAAATAAGCCTCCCAAAGTCTACACACGTACTAAAAACTCTCCCGAGTTGTCACTTCATCTGAAGTTGGCGTTCGGGGCCATTTCCTGGTCTGGCAGAGACACACAAGGCAGATAAAACAAAACAGACAGATGCTCACTCTGCTGGTGCCTTAGATTGTATACATTCCAGGGAAGAGAAATATTTTATTTAAAATATATTTTTATTGATTTTAGAGAGGAAGGGAGAGAGAGAGATAGAAACATCAATGAGGATAATCATTAGTCAGCTGCCCCCTGCACGCCTACTACTAGGAATGGAGCCCGAAACCCAGGCATATGCCCTTGACTGGAATCGAACCTATGACCCTTCAGTTCGCAGGCCAATGCTCTATTCACTGAGTCAAACCAACTAGGGCAGGAAGGGAGATGTTAACACAACTTGTACCTTCTTTTCCTATTCCCACTTGTTCTGTCCATGATCTAACATTCTTGATTAAGGAGTGTCAGAAACATCCAATCAAAACCATCTTATTGAGTTGAGCTAATTAAATTACAAACTAAGAAATATACTTTAATAAGCTCACAAGAAAGATCAAGTTAAAACCAACTGCGAGCAAAGATTACTCCTCCTGCATGATTTCTCCCCAGAGAAAGAGGTACTGTCTTTTAACGATTTGAGTCAATGATGACCAATAAATAATCTTAAGGGTACAGAGCGCGCAGACGCACCCTGAGCGAGGAGATGCATTACAGCTGTTTCATTTAATCACACATGTAGGTGGCATCACTTAACAAATGCACTAATTCCAACTTTGTCCACTTTCTCAGCTACATCAACAACAAAAAAGATACATCTATCCCTGCCTTGGTGTTCAGGCAACTAGGGTCTGGTTGATTGGGAAAGAAAATGGGGTACAATTGCACATCATTTATTCTCCATCACACCCTCCAGATCAACGCTATTCCACAGAACAATCTCCAGCAATCTCAGTTCTCTCTCTGCACTGACCAAGCACGGCAGCCAGTGGCCACATGAGCTACCGAGCACTTGGCGTGTAGCTAGTGCGACGGAGGAACTGCATTTCATTTCATTTTAATTGAGAGTCATGTGGCGAACAGCTACCCTACTGGAAAGAGCAGCCTGTCCCCGCTGCCCACTGCCCTGGGATAGAAGGAGGAACTGGGCTCAAACTCTAGTTCAACCCTAGGTTGTGGCCCTGATTCTGTCTCATAATCCAAGTCTCTCCCCCAAGTCCCTCCAGCCCACCAAGGTCAACGCTCACAAAGGCGGTTTCTCTCCTCGCTCTCCCCCCAGGACCAGCTATTTGTGGGCCGTGTATTCACTGGTGTTGGAATCCTAACCAGTAGCTGGTCCCTATTCTAGGTTCCTATCCATTTTATATGCCCTTTTCTCTCCAAAACTTTCTAACGGCTTTGTTTTTTCTTCCCATCCCCCCCCCCTTTCCTTACTCTAATTCTATTCATTTCCTGTCCATCATAACATCAACATCCGCCAAACCACGTTTACATAAAAACCCCTTTTATGACACCAGAGCCAAGTGTAAGTACACATGAACTAACTGGCCGAGGGAGGAATGATTCAAGGCAAAAAAATGATCGCCAATGTATAGATTTTAAGTGGATTAAGGTTGTGAATGGATTCACGGTGTAAATGGATTAAATAGATGATATAAGGAATATATTCACTGCCATGAGGATATTTGAAAAGGAGATGATCTCAAGAAGAAATGATAGTTGAGTCAAACTCTCTAAAACCCTCTCCCCAGCCCAGAAATGACCCATCCACGGGAGGCCTCCCTGAGCCTCGGTCAGACGCATCCCTGGCGCCCGGCACACCAAGCATGGCCAGAAGGAGTCTGAGGCCAGAAATTTGTCTACAAAGGAAATGAGAAGGAAATTGTAGGAGATAAAACACAGCTTTAGGTTCTGGCGGGTGGCCAGCTTTGTTCCTTCCAGTCCAACGGCTGAAGGGGTAGGGGAAGGGGAACAGCGGGGAGGCAGCTGTTTTGTTGATTATCGCCCTTTCTGGGCCTCAGTCCCCGTCCTCCTTCCTTTTCTCACTGCAGAGTCCGCGGTAGTTTCCCTGGCCCGCGGGCCCCACCGCAAGGCAGAGAAAGATGGTTCAAAAGAGCAAGCCCGGCTGACGTGGCTCAGTGGTTGAGCATCGACCTATGAATTGGGAGGTCATGGGTTCAATTCCCAGTCAGGCCACATGCCCGGGTTGTGAGCTCAATCCCCAGTGTGGGGCACGCAGGAGGCAGCTGATCAATGATTCTCTCTCATCATTGGTGTTTCTGTCTCTCTCTCCCTCTCCCTTCCTCTCTGAAATCAATAAAAATAAGAGAGCAGAGAAGACTGAAATGCGCTGTTCCAGGAAAGCATAATCAAAGTGAACTCAAGCATGTTTCACTGTGTTAATATAAAAAATGCAGTTTTAGGACTCTTAGACGTCTTCTGGGCAGTGCAAAAACACACTATCCACGGCCCATCCAGGGGGGCAGGGAGAGAAGACACCCCGTTTCCCTGGAGACCCCAGCGTGAGGGGGAGCAGCAGGGCCAGGATCAGAGGGCAGGGAGCCCGCCCCCAGGCCAGCTCTCGCCCGCTTGGCCGCGGCGTCTCCCTCGTGGCGGCTCATTTATCAGATAACTTCCCCGTTACTTCTCTAAACAAGAGCAGCGCATCTCCCAGCAGGAGACAGGGCTCTGTCCATTTTAAGCCAAAGAAGACGCCGAGGCAGCGCGTGTTATATAATCAGCGGAGCGCAGGCCCGGCTGGCCACGGCCCGGGCAGCACATTCTTTCCCTCGGTGATGTCATTGTATATCCCCCTGGCCCGGCTCCGAGCCCTGCTACCCACGCCTGCATGCGGCCGGCCTGTGTAAACCCTGCATTCTTAGGTGGCACCAGGACAGATAGACCTGGACCCCAGCCCGTGGGAGCCCGTCTGCAAACCCAACGCCCTTGCAGGTGTCCGCAGCCCACACCACGGAGCCACTCCCACGGCCACAGGTGTGATGAGGAGTCAGATCCTGGCAGGACAGAACTCAGGCACAGACGGTCTAGCCAGAGCCCAGTCATCTGGGACAGTGGCCGGCAAACTCATCAGTCCGCAGAGCCAAATATCCGCAGCACAGCGATGAAAATTTCTTTGGAGAGTCACATTTTTTAAACTTAAAACTTCTTCTAACACCACTTCTTCAAAATAGACTCGCCCAGGCCGTCGTGTTTTGTGGAAGGGCCACACTCAAGGGGCCAAAGAGCCACCTGTGGCTCGCAAGCCATGGTTTGCCCACCACTGATCTGGGAAATTTAGCTGCCATTTCATAGTGATTATTACACCCACAGGCATCAGTTACTTAAATATCACAAATGCCTGTGCGGAATAAAAATGCCTTCTAGGGGAACAAAAACAGACATGGAAATCAGAAGCCTTGTCATTGCAATTTAGTAGACATTTTCTTTCAGGACCATCTCTCTTTTTATTCTTATAAAAGATTTAAAAAATCAGACTAAAGGAGTTTTTCAGTAACAGGCACAGTTTTCCTATAAAGGACAAGGTAGTCTTTTAGGCTTTGGGGGATCCATGGTCCCTGTTATAAATACTCAACTGCCCTTATGACATAAAAGCAGGCACATATTATACTTAAGTGAACAGGCATGGCTGTGTCCCAATAAAACTTTATTTACAAAAACAGACATGGACCAGATTTAACTCTCAGGCCCCAATTTTCCAACTCTTAATCTGGAAAATGATTTCTTTTCTTCCAACTCACATCAATGAATCATTAAGAAGATAACGGCCTGACAGGTGTGGTTCAGTGGTTGAGCTTCGACCTATGAACCAGGAAGTCACAGTTCCATTCTCCATCAGGGCACATGCCCGGGTTACAGGCTCAATCCCCAACAGGGGGTGTGCAAAAGGCAGCCGATCAGTGATTCTCTCTCATCATTGATGTTTCTATCTCCCTCTCCCTACCTCTCTGAAATCAATAAAAAAATATATAATTTTTTACAGATGATGATAAGCTCAATGGCAAACAATGGAGATGTAAGAGAACAAAGTTCTATAGAATATCACTCCAGTACAGATCACCTTTTCCTGAACTAACCAGTGCACAGAGAAGGTCCACCGCCTCCAACACCAGCTCCTGGTGTCCAATCCGAGTGACACCCAGCTCCTCGAGATCCTGATGGGCGATCCGCAGCAGCTGCTCGCCGTTGATCTTCTCTCGCTCAAACTTGTGGACGTACTGCTGCAGGCAGTCATCTAAGCCTGCCGGGAAAGCAGAGGAGGTCATCAGGGTCAGGTGAGCCTTTTCTCCAAGAAGTCACCCATCATGCTCCACTATTCCACTGCCCATATACCATGTGTGCCACCTGAGGGACACATACCAAGTGTGGCCTCACTTTCTCATCTCAGACAGATTTTAAAGGTACAGCTTCAAGTTTCCAAAGAAATCCAGTTCAGTTATATGACGGTTACCTTTCCATCCCCTTTCAACTAAAAGAATAAACACTCACCCCCTGAGGACGCACAGTGCCAGTTACCTGCATTAGACACGTGTGTGACTGTTCGCTAAGCAACTCTACTTTGGGGACTCCCTCTCTCTCCCGGCCCATGCGATCCCAGCGGGCCTGCCAATCAAGATGTTTTGCCACAGTATTTCATCTACCAGCCAGGATTGGGTTCTGGGATGACTATATGACTCAATAGGAACCAATGAAAATCTTCCTTGATATTTGATATATCTGATGATAGAGGCTCTTTCTTCCTTTCCAAATGGAAGCCATAAGGACACAACCTTGGGGATACTGGTATTTTCTAGAAATAAATCCATGTGTGAGAGAGAGAGATACATGCCTGTGCCTTACAACTGAAAAACTTCTGATGAAAACAGAATCCAGCAGTGACACCAAAGAAAGGCAATGGTAAATGGGTTAGCTTAGGGGGATTCTCCAGGCCAAATAATACTGCCAACAGGGTTGCATTCCAATGTTCTTATATAATGATTAAAATACGTAAGCCAAGTAGAACTTGGGAATCTTTATTCCTGGACAGAAAACTCTCTGCTCAACTTGTGTTAATGGTTTTGCTGAAATAAAATTTTACCAAAATTGGCTGAACTAATAACAAAAGCCATCTAGTGTTTTATCCCAACACAAAGGATAAAAACTCAATTTAACTAGAACAATGAATATGAAAGGCATGCTGCTGTCCCCTCCCTGCCACACACACACACACACACACGCTCTGCTATGTGTGTCCTCTCTGGACTAGAAAGGTAGACAAAAATCTAGCACTTACTTCGGGCAATACTAAAGTTTGCTGTCTTTTCTTTTCTTTATTGATTAAGGTATTACATATGTGCTCTTATCAACCTATTGTCCTCCACCTCCCACCCCAACTAATGCCCTTACCCCCCTGTTGTCTGTGTCCAAAGTTTGTGGGTCTTAAAATCTAATGTGCCTCTAAACAGGCCTCTCTGCCCCACAAACTTTCCCCAACTGCCACCTGATAAGATAAAGGAAGAGGAACAATTTCCTGATAACCCTTTGGGGCTATTAAATATAGAAAGAAGAGGTAAGAAACAATGAATTTTATGGTAACCAGATGAGTTGTCATTCCTCTCTGAAATGACATCTGTCTAGCACCGTGGTCAGCAAACTGTGGCTCACAAGCCATATGCGGCTCTTTGGCCCTTTGAGTGTGGCTCTTCCACAAAATACCACAGCCCGGGCAAGTCTATTTTGAAGAAGTGGCGTTAGAAAAAGTTTAAGTTTAAGAAATGTGTCTCTCAAAAGAAATTTCAATCATTGTACCGTTGGTATTTGGCTCTGTTGACTAATGAGTTTGCAGACCACTGGTCTAGGACTCCATCACACTGCAAGCGAGGTTGGAGACATTGATATAAACTTTGCTCCACTGGGACCACCTTGAGCCACAAGTGGTCTCCATGACATGTGAATGGAGCAGTTGTGGAGGCCACGCAAGTCAGCAGGCATTTATGACGATACTCCACCTGGGCCGCAGGGGCTGGGTCTCAGCATCTGGGGCCATCCAGGGCGTGGACAGAGGGGCAGCATCCATCAGCAGCAAGCAGCTGTGACAATGACCGAGGGGAAAGGAGAGCCTCCCGAGAACTCTATGGCCACACACAGACGTCTGAAGTAGGGTTCATGGATGCTGTATAACCTATCCACAGTCACAGAGCTTACTAGATGCCAAGAGAAGGATTTTTATAGCCAAGTTTTCTTCAGCTTCATGCAGAAGAAAAGAGACTGACTTCAAATCAAGGTCTATTCGGCAAGGTCAAAGCCTTTTTGCATTCTACCCAGACAGGGTTATAAAAACTCCTCTCCAACCATCTTCCTAAATAAGCAGTAAGAATCACAGTATCTTAGAGTCACTTAGAAGGTACTTCAGAGCTCAATGAGTCTAAAAAGCTGAGAAAGTATGGACCATAGACTAATTCTTTTGAGTTTTATCCTAAATCACTTAGCCAGTTCTAAGCCAGATCATGACCAATATCCCACACTCATCTGAGTCAAGATGTTCTCTTCCTTTGCCTATTGTGATGGCTGAATTGTGCCTCCCCAATATTCTGATGCTGAAGTCCTAACCCCCAGGAACTCAGAACATGACTATTTGGAGATAGCATCTTTAGAGAGGAAACTACATTAAAAAGAAGTCTTATGGATGGACCCGAATCCAATATGACTGGCATTCTTATAAAAAGAGGAGACACACAGAGTGAAGACCATGCGGGGACACAGGGAGAAGACGGTCGTCTGCAAGCCAAGGAAAGAGGCCTCAGAAGAAACCAGCCCTGCTGACTCCTTGATCTCTGACTTCCGGCCTCCAGAACAACAAGAAAACAAATTTCTACTGTGTCACCTACCCGGTCTGTGGGGCTTTGTTATGGCAGCCCTAGCAAGCCAACATAAACCCAGGAACATTTTCATTCCTATCCACCCACATGTGATCAGCTCTTCCCTAAACGAAATAAACAAGGTCCAATGGCCAACTGAATTGCAACTTGTGTTCACTGTGCCAAACAACTTTCATGTGCAGAATAAATTAGCCCGTTATAATTAAACGGAAGAAACCATGTACAATGGGAGTTCATTAAACTTCACCCCTGAATAATAAGAAGTAGAAATAAAGATAAGGCCAGATTTCTCTTTCTACTCATTGTGAAAAGTTTCACTGAAGAGGCAGCATTTCAGATGTAGCTTTAGAGCAATGAAGGAAATAGTGTAGACACAGAAGAGAGGTTGAGATGGGAGAAGGGATGAGGATTCCAAATAGGATGAAGGGTGCAAAGGATCAGAGGTTGAGAACCGACAGATACAGAACATTTCCCCCAAAGGGGGCCAGACTCTCTTCAAGGGCTCTGAGGGAATATGATCTCTTCTCAACTAACCAAACCCTCTCCGACATGCAGGAGAATTACCAAGCAGAAACCACCCTTTGCTTCCCACCCAAAAACAGAATCCAGGGTGAGCTAAGACTTTCCTCTCCCGGGACACATAGATGAATACACTAGCTTTTAAAGAGTATCGCCCCTGGTTTCATTATTCCAATATGTTATGGCCTATTGTTCGGTTATCCTATTGTTTAAAATACAATTAAACATTTATAAATAACTGAATCAAACTATTATGCAGTCCCACAAAGAAGGGAAACTAAACCCCAATTTCAAGTAAACTGGGTTTTAGCATCTACAATAAACCCGACACCTTACCTATTGGCCTATTGGCCAGTTCTTTTGCTTTCTGTAAAGGGAACGTACAGAAAGCCCAGCAGGACAGGGAGAAACACATAATTAAATAAAAGGAAATTGAACACATTCCATTGACACACATGTAGTTAAGCAGATAATTCCATGTGAAAAGAATCATGACGTAGAGGCTCCCACAGAACGGGAGCCAGTGAGAGGGCCCGGACTTCCTCCACTGCCACAGCCTGGCTGCACATAACCCTCCACTCCCAAAGCCCTCCCAAATGCAGAAAGGAAAACAATGCTTATGATTATGAAAGACACCGTCTTCTGATTTATATCAGAAAATGGCAGGGCAGCAACCAAGAGCCTGAATACCAACCTCAGCCCCACGTCTTGCTAACAGGATTCCCTCAACGGCCTCCTTTGTAAAAGAGGGGCAATAACACCACCTGCTCACATGGATCTGTAACAAAAATCAAATGGTGAGCCTGAGGGGCGTGGCTCACAGTTCGATTCCCAGGCAGGGCACAGGCCAGGGCTGCAGGCTTGATCCCCGATGGGAGGCATGCAGGAGGCAGCCGATCAATGATTCTCTCTCTGTCACTGACGTTTCAATCTCTCTCTCCCTCTCCTTCCTCTTTGAAATCAGTAAAAAAATATTTAAAAATGAATAAATAAAACGTACACCAAAGAGCCGAAGGCCGGAGTGACCCCCGCAGCCTAAGGTGCCGCGTCCTCTCCAGGGCACCAGCCTGGAGCAAAGGCAGGCGAAGGACGCAGCGGCCTGCATCTGGTGGAAACGGGGGACTTTCGCCTCAGCCCTGCAAAACTGATGTCCAAACAACTTCCAACGTCTTTCATGCAAAATCCGATGGGATTGATAGAGCGTACCAAATACTGTGAGTGAGAAGGGATCAGGTGTTCTGAGATGTAGAATTAAGAGGGAAGCTAAGCATACAAAATGAGAGCTATTATAGCAGCGAAAGGTGAAATGTCACTTACTGCGTGGCAGATACCTTTCCAGAACCGATGTAAATAAATCCCGTCACCTCCCTAATGTCCCCACATCAGTGTCCCACTTTGGAGATGAGGGGCTGAGGCACAGAGAGGGGAGGTGACCTGCCCAGAGCCACACAGGACCAGGGCTCACACCCACGGGGACTGGCACCGGGGTCTCTGCTCTTCACCTCCAGACACTGCCCGAACATCCTCCAATGCAGGAGTTCACAGATGTCCCCTTAACTGACCCAAGGAAAGTAGAGTTTTATGTACCAGGAAATCGCACAAATCAATAAGCTGACTTTGTTTACTGCCCATCATGGCCATCAGAAATTTTAATGGCCATGTGAACACCACTGGGTCAAATGAGAACATTAAGAAACTGGGGATACCAGCTCCTACATGGGGAGCATGTTATCAACAAACAGTCTGCAGCTTTCGGTGTACCACACTCCTCAGGCACTCTCTCAAACACAGGGGAGACTGAGGGACTCTGCTTTCCCCCCAGGAAATCTGGATGGAATTCTCTTGTAGCCTCTTCACTCTTGAA